ATCTTAGTCCTAAGGTACACCTCACTTTTATAATTTCCCCAGCAGAGTCGCCAGTTCTGTGATCGGTGGATTTAGAACTGACTGTTTAACGCTGGTTCGCGAAATGTCGCGGAAGCAAGAGTCGCCACCGTCTTTTATTTTCTCCAACATGGACAGGACAAAAGCACAGCAAAATTCCTTATGAGATAGTTTCTCGGTTCGGGAGGTAGATTTATAGAAAGGGAAGGTGTTAGCACCCTTTCTATCCATGGTTATCCATGGGCTCTTAGATACTTGCTCTTATGTTTTCAAAATGTTTGCTTTTCAAAATGTGAGTGGGTTTTGCAAAAGTTTCTTTGAAAGTTTTCTGAATAACTCTTGTATTTGTCCTCAAGAGTGTTTGAAAAATTGTTTTGAAAGCTTTTTGAAAGTGTCGGTGTGAAAAGAGTTTGATTTGTTTTTGAGAGAGCAAGTATCCATGAGTCATCTACCTACCCTAAGGAATTAGGCTGTGTAAAAGTCCTTAAGGTAGTGCCATCCCACCATTGAGAGGTAGGTAGCACCACCGTTGGAGGTGTTCGGGTCAATTCGAGTATAGGGACAGTGTGGTCACCGAAGCAACAGTATGACACCTTAGAAGCTACCCTTATGTCCTTGATCCTTTTTAATCTGAGGCAACCGTTTCGAGGCAACTGGATCATGGACATAAGGACTTACTAAAACGTCATATACTTGACGACCACGTTTCGAAGGCAACAGGTGAGGCGTACCCTAGAAGCGGTGTGTGAATTTATGTGTTATTTTCAGTTTAAGTTTATCTTTGATCATGGCATTGTGAGCTACGCTTGTTTTTTAATTAGCATACATTCTTTCATACAAATTATAATTTAAGAGTGCGGAAAGTAAAATACAGGAAAATAAAAGCTACGCTATTACAAGGCGCATGTCTATACATCGCCAAATTACAAAGACCCGTTTTTGATAAAAGTGCGGAAAGTAAATAAATACCTAATTACTATTACATCTGGAAAACAGTTACATAATAATCAGACAAATAATAATAACGCGCGAAAAGAAATAAAACTGAAAGTTCGAGGGCGTTGGACCCTTTGCTTGAAATTAAATTAAATTAATGCATAATAATTATTTAATTAAAGAAAAGTGTTTTTTAGGTTTTTTTGTATTTATTATGGAATAAAGAAAATTAAAATCAAGAGAAACCCTAATTCTAAGTTATTTTAATTGTTAATGAAAATATTAAAGTTAACCTAATTTACTAATTAATTAAATTACATGTTTATTTACAAAATAATAATAATAATAAATAATGAGGAAAATAGTTAATTAAGAAAAAGAGGAAAATGTCAAAAAACCTAATTCTACATATTTTATTTATTAAGAAAGGATTAAAGTTTAAAACCTAAATTAACTAAATTAATTGTTAGAGTTTATTTACAAAAATATTTTAATGGTGAAATTAAATATAATTAAACATATTTGTATTTTTGATTTTCTGATTTTATTATGAAAAGATTAATTTTAATGACTTAATAATAATTGTTAAAAATAAATAATTGAAAGAAATTAAAAGAAAGAAAAAAGAATTGAATTGCAAACCAAGGGGGTGTCAGGCCCAAATGGAGGTATATTGGAGTAATCTGGCCCATCAGCATAGAGTTCGTTTGACCTTCCAGGATTGAGTGCACGTGGTTGACTGTAGTGCATCATGGAATTCATTCTGAGGCCATTGGATGAGTGATCGAGGCCACTTGGCAAGCACAGGCATGAGGCTCATGGTAGGCCACTGAATGAAGCGCTGCACTAGAAGACATTAAAATAAAAGTCATGAATTATGTGGGGGGACCTGGGAATCGAACCCAGGTCCCTATACCTGCAAGACACGTCCTCCAACCACCAGGCCATTTGCGTTTGTTTATAAATATAATAGATAGAAAATATAATATAAAAAAAAACATTGGTTAGTGGTATAAGACAAAAAGCGCGCCAACGTTTGAATCTCCCAATAGCGTCAGGCCACGTCCATCTTCTTCCTTGTTTTCCCTGTAATTATAAAACAACTAGCGGGGGTTTTAAACCCCCACAAAACTGAAACTGTGAAAATAGCGATTAGAAGAGGAGGAAATATAAAAAGGGCGCGAGGTTTCCATTTGCTTCGTCTTGAGCTTCTGAATTCAGCTGTATAGGTCTAAAGGTCCAATTTTTTCTCTACAAGAAATCCCTATTTTGAAGCTTCTGAAACCCTAGGTTTCATCAATGGTAGATTTCGATTCAAGCAATTTTAGAACAATTAAACTATACCAAACGCTTCAGGAAGATGTTAGTAGCATAAATCAATAATCAAAACACATGAATGATGCGTGGAAATTAAAATTCAATTATGAAATATTTTTGAAGAAACGTGACTCGGTTCTACCGTTTCTTTGAGTATGGAAGCTTATTCTTGATGCCAATAGTTTCCTAGCAATGTCAGCAAGGTGTTGGAATAGATTTTAGGCCTTGAATGATACTGCAACTATGAAATCAGTTTCAAGCTTTTCTTGGAATTTTTTCAAATTGGTTATGAGTTTGTGAGCAGCTTTTCGTGTCTTGTGGAATAGGGTTGAGTTGTGAATAAGTATGTGAAGCAAATTAGGTCAAGAAAGAGCCCATGGATCCATGAATTAATGTTTTGAATCTTTGATTTTCATCATATATTTTTCAATCTTTTTTCATTGAAATCTTTGCCAATCATGGATGATTTTCCTTTTTGTGATGTGAAACGACTTGGCCAGCTTGCCCTAGTTTGATTTGCTGCACAAAAAGATTTGAAAAAGCATTATTTGATATTTTCTCCTAATTAAATCTAATTAAATGAATTAATAAGAATAAAAATTCAATTAATTAATTAAAAATAAGAAAATAAATCCCTTTGAGCTCAATGGGTCGTGCATAGGCTTTGGGTAATTATTCAAGGAAGAATTTGAGGCCCATTAGCAATTTTGGAGTGTTTTAGGCAAAGTTGACTTTTGAAAATTCCCAAAAATTTCCCAACTTCTCCATTGCATATCTTGCTCAATTTTGAAGCTATGAACATGTTCTTGGACATTTTGGAAAGTTCTTGAAGTCCTCTAACCAATGCCTTTGGTTCCATGTCATTTTGATTTACCAATCTCAAGTTATGGTCTTTGACTTAAAGTGCCTTTTTGTTGATCTTTGAAAATGACCTATAATGTTGAAATTGATAACTTTTTGTGAGAGCATTTCTTGGACTTGGAGTGTGAATATGAGTTGTAGGAAATCTCATCCTCTTAAAAATGAGCATTGGATGGAATTTTTCTGATAAACCATGAAGAAGTTATGCCTTGGTCAATTTGCAGTTGACTTTTCAACTGTCCAAAAATAGAAACTTTTGCATCTTGAGACTTTTTGAGCCATGCTTTGAGAATCATGATCAAGAATTGATCAAATGATGATTGTGGCTTCAAAATAAGATATTGACCAAAAATTTTGACTTTTGACTGTCAAATGACCATTTTGCCCCTGCAGTTGACTATAAGGCAATCAGGGTTTTTGACTGTGCATTTTGATGCTGTGAGTCTTGAAACTTGACATATGGATGCTTGGCAATGTATATGGGCATATGGGACTTGATTGGACCCTTGGAAACCTCAATTTCTTTGCCAAAACCAAAACCCTAATTTTGACTATGTTAGGAGGCCATTAGACTGTGCAACCCTTGAGAGATTTTGAACCATGATCTTGCCAAATCTTTGAAGAATATGGGAGGGAAAATTTTGGGGTACAACACAAAAGAACCCCATTTTGTAGTGCAAACCCAGGTCTTGTGGTTTCCCTCTTTTGTAAAGCCGAAATGATTGCCTGTAAAGTTGGATCCTGCTGTACCTCGTCATGGACAGCCTTGAAATCTAACCATTCAAGACGGAAAATCATAGAATGATGAAGTGTTAACCTGTCATCTGAATTAGCAAGGACTACCATGGTGTTGTTTGGGGAAGTATCAAACTGACGGGACAACGCATTAGCACCATTGTTCTCAAGACCAGGTTTTATGTCTTCACTGGTATGGCTCTTGGTGGCTTGATTCTTAGCAAAGCAGCAGATTACATTGTTGAAAAACAGGAAATGTATCTTGTTAAAGCAATATGCAAAGCCGAGAAACTCGCTCTAGAATAGGTTTCTAAAGAACTTGTGACTAAGAAAAGCAAATACAAGTTTCTGCTTTCAATATCCACTTTTGTTGTACTCATGATTACAGGAACTGTTTTTCTGTATTTTATGGAGAAACTAGATTTCGTCGATGCATTCTATTGTGTTTGTTCGACGGTTACGACTTTAGGTTACGGAGATAAGAGCTTTTCAACTCCTATTGGTAGGACTTTTGCTGTGTTTTATATATTAAGCAGCACCATTTGCTTGGCTCAGTGTTTTGCATATCTTGCTGATTTTTATACAGAAGATAGACACAATCCCATTCTTTAAGCTCATCTATGATCATGTCTCTGTTGATCACAATCTTCTTGTTCACTGGGTTGAACAACTTGTAACATTATGTCGAATGATATCCAACTAGAATCATTTGACTCGACTTGTCATCAAGTTTTCTTCTCAACTGATCTGGCACGTGTCTATGTGCAGTGGAGCCAAATACCTTTATATGACTCAAGCTAGGCTTCACACCACACCAACATTCTTCTGGAGTAATTCCTTCTAGCTTCTTCGTAGTACATCTGTTCAAAATATATGTTGCAGTCGACACAACTTCACCCCAAAACTCTTTAGGTAAATGTTTTCCTTTCATCATACTTCTCACCATATTCATGATGGTTCGATTCTTCCTTTCTGCAGTTCCATTATGCTATGGAGTGTAGGGTGGCACCACCAAATGAATAACCAGTTGTAAGTTGTAAGTAATTCATATTTGTTTGTGTACAATTAACAATGCAACTAAACAAAAACAATTCAATTTGCATAGAAACACATTGAATTTCCTAAAAGTATTATCAAACAGTTTGATTGATAATACCTTCTGAAAGCCAAGCGTAGTTGCGGCTGGAAATGGAAAGCATGGAGTTCATGAGCGCAGAAGCAGTGACAGTGTGGTAAGGCATCATTGATTCAACGCAAAAACTCAATTCAACAGGGGACCTAATCACGTAAACAAAACTAGCGTCATCAATCGATTGTGAATTAGGAAAAAGGAATTAAAAAACGGAGATAAAGAAGATTCCAGTGGATATGTGTATCGATTATTACCTGAATGTGGATTGTGATGGCGAGACGGGTTTGCTGGAGGTGGTGCGGAATGAGGAACGAGCTGGTTTTGCTTCCGATGCAATGCGAAAGGCTGATCTGGCTGAAGAAGATGATCGGAATATTAATCTGGCAGCAGTGGAGGCCATGGCGTCACTGACTGCGTGAACTTGAAAGTTGAAAGTTGTAAACCCTACATTTTATTTTTAATTATTGAAATATATATATTTAGGGATAGTTTTGTAATTTAACATATAAGCGGGTGTGGTTTGGGGTTTCGGGTGCGGGTTTAAGCTATCCCAAACCCACACCCGAAATATCGGGTGGCACCCGAACCCGAACCCAAACCCAGTCAATTCGGGTTTCACCCATTGACTCGGGTGCGGGTGGGGCCCGCGGGTTTGGGTCTGCTTGCCATCCCTAAATATATCCAACTTGTTACTAACAGGTGGATACAGCATACGGCCAGCTTGGGCAAATGCCGAGGCTCGTGTTGCGGATCTGCTACATTCGACATCGCCATAAATACAACTCTTCACGATAATCTCCCTCCTACGAGCAAAACTGTAACCCACAGAACTAAACGCCTCTCCGCGAAATCCGCAGCCATTACCCATCTGCGACATCCTCCACCGGACTGAGACCTCTGATGTCGTATCCCACCGTCGTCCGTCGCACGCCTCGTAAAACTGAAACCGACCGCGATACTGGCAGTTGCTCCGCCATCGAATTCCTCATTGAGAGATTCGTTTTTTTTTTGCTGACTAATTTTTTGTATTTGTTTTCCCTTTGTGTTGATTGTACAGGTTATGCTAAGCAATTTAGGGTGCAGTAAAAAAACAAGAAGGAAGAAAAGATGAGATGAGGAGATTGGATCTAGACTGTTATGTCTCTCTCCTAGTAATATACAAAGGTTTTTATTTTATTGTATTTTCTTACTCTACCACCTGTCATTCTATGATAGCTCCTTGTTTGTTGAAAACTCAATTGATTTCCTTTCCTCTTAAATTTTCGGTCGACAACAGTAGAGAGTCACCACCCATTGTCTATATTCATTGTCCCATTTTTTTTCTTCTTCTTTTAAATAATAACAATTATTGATTAGACTTAGGTTTAACTAAACTTGGGCTCTTGGGCCATAATTTCTATCTTTTTGCTGGTTCACACCCCCATCTCCAATTCTACACTCCTATTCCATTTATTCTATTTTTTTATTAGGTTAGGTAGTTTTTATTAGGTTAATTAATTTTCTTAATATTATTTTTTTATAGGAATGATTAATTTGGTAATATAACTTATATTAATTCGGTCAACTTTTTAGATTAAATCATTTAGTTCATCGCACTTGTACATAATCAATTTTTTTCTAATCAAATTGATTCGACATTTTCGCAAGTAATAGAATGTTCACCTTTAAATAATTGAATCGGTCGATACATCATCTTCCGGTTTATCATCCAATATTAAAAATACCAAAACCCACGCAACTGGAGGGATGCTTTGATAGAGGCACAACACCAAGATATTTTAAATAAACTTGAGAGTGGTGAGATATCTAGAGGAAAAGGGCTTGCACCAATCATCTAATCTCACAAGACCTGGGGATACTAGATGGGGTTCACATCATACTACATTGCTTCGTTTGGATCAAATGTGGCCCTCTGTGTTAAAGGTGCTTAGTATGGTTGATGAAGATGGACGTGGATCATCTCAAGCAACGGGTTTAATAGAAAAATGGAGAGCTTTAAATTTGCTTTCATTTTGAAATTAATGTTAAAGTTGTTTGGTATCACAAACGAGCTTTCAAATGTCTTGCAAAGAAAAGATCTTAATATTGTGATTGCCATGGAATTAGTTGATGATGTCAAAGCTCGATTGGCCACAACGAGAGAGAGTGGTTGGGACAATTTATTTTCGGATGTCCAAGATTTTTGTGTTGCTAAAGGTATTCAAGTTCCAAATATGGATGATGAAATACCGGTTCGGGGTCGTTCAAGGGTAGAAGGGGAGACTGTCACTAATCTTCATCATTACCGTGCAGAGATTTTTTATGTTGCTATTGACAAAATATGTGTGGAGATGGATCATCGCTTTAGTGAAGAAAGTAACATTATCCTTAATTGTTTTTCATGTCTTGATCCCAAAAACTCTTTCTCCAAGTTTAATGTTGATAAGCTTGCTCGTCTTGCGGATATTTATCGTGTAGACTTTTCTGATGATGACCGAGGAACAATAAGGGATCAACTTGAGACTTATGTTCTTCAAGTGAGAAGAAATGCTTCATTTTCCACTTGTGAAGATGTTCAAAGTTTGGCTATGAAGATGGTTCAAACTGAGAAACATTTAGTATTTCCATTGGTTAATAAACTTATTGAGTTAGCTTTGATATTGCCGGTGTCGACAGCATCCGTTGAAAGAGCTTTTTCAGAAATGAAGATTATCAAGTCTAAATTGCGCAATAAGATCAATGATGTGTGGTTAAATGACTTGATGGTATGTTACACTGAGCGGGAGATATTCAAATCACTTAATGATATTGATATTATTCGAACATTCACCGCAAAAAAGTCTCGGAAAGGACATTTGCCTCGTAATTTTATTTAACCCGCTATTGTAAGGTTATATTTGTCTCTTTTTTTTTAAACTATATTTTTGTGGACAAAATGGCGAGTCTCTGTTATTTTGATTGATGAGTATTTATATATTATATACAATGTGAATTTGCGATCTTTAATTTTTCGCCAAGGCTTTATAATATTTCTGGCTCCGCCACTGGCAGATTAGTTCAGCAGCCAACTGAGCCATGCTACGATACTTTGCTTCTGCACTGGGTCGAGCTACAAGCTGCTGCTTTTTAGACCACCAAGAAACCACATTAGGGCCTAGAAAAAACACACGCTCCTGAAGTGGACCTTCTGTCATCAGGGTTTGATGCCCAGTCAGCATCACAAAACCCTAGCAACTGTAATGGTTGCTGAGTAGAGGTGGGTTGAATAAGGAGGCCATGCTGAGGAGTGCCACTTAAATATCTTAAAATTCTTTTAACGGCCTTCCAATGTTCCTCCAAGGGATTGGACAAAAAGTAGCAAACTTTGTTAACTGAAAATGAGATTTCAAGCCTAGTTAATGTTACATACTACAAAGCACCAACAACTTATCTGAATTGTGTAGGATCACCTACAGCAGTAGAACCTATTTTGGAGAGCTTACTGCTTGAAATCATAGGAGTAGGCATGCTATTTGCATTCGGCATGTTCACCTTGGCCAGTAAGTCAGTGATATACTTTGTTTGAGAAAGAAGTAAGGACCCATTAGACAGATGGGTGACCTCAATGCCTAGGAAATAATCCAGCTTGCCCAACTGCTTTAGAGAGAATTTGTCATTGAGATGCTTAATCAAAGACTCTAAAAATGAGGTATAATTGCTTATGATGATTATATTATCAACATAGACAAGGATCATGATCTGTAGACTGCCATGATTAAGCAAAAATAGGCTTGGATCACACCTGCTAGCTTGAAACCCGTGCTGAATAAGAGCACTCTTATGTTTGTCAAACCAGACCCTGGGAGACTGTTTTAACCCATAGATGGCTTTGTTCAACCTATACACAAGAGACTTATCAGATGCTTCAAACCCAAGAGGTTGTTGCATAAACACTTCCTCCTCAAGAGTGCCATTTAGAAAGGCATTATTGACATCAATTTGCTGAATAGTCCAGTTGTTGGTGACTGCAAAAGTTAACACAATCCCGACTGTTACAGGCTTAACCACAGGTGAGAATGTTTCAGTGAAATCACTTCCAGCCTTTTGATGAAACCCTTAGGCCACCATCCTGGCCTTGTATTTGTTTATGGAACCATCAAGATTCTGTTATAACCTGAAGACACATTTGCAGCCAGTGGGCTTCCTAGAACCAGATGACTTTACCAATGTCTAGGTCTGATTTCTCAGTAGAGCCTGATACTCTTCCTGCATTGCCTGAAACAAGTTAGGAGCAGTCAAAGCTTGGTCTACTGATGTTGTTTCCATATGTGTAAGTAACAGGGTCGGATGAAGTATGGGTAGTGTAATGCCTCTTTTAGATCTAGTTTGCATAGGATGAACATTTAAAGGATTAATAAAGGGTTAAGATGAAGTGGAATTGACAGGGCTAGGTGCATAAGAGAGAGTTTGGGATGAAGAGGGAGAGAAAGTGTTGGCTTCTGCAAGATCAGATAGGATAAGAGCAAGAGTGGAAGTAGAAGATGAATTGAGTGTGTTAGGAGTAACATTAAGGCCAGAAGAAGCAAAAGTTGGTAAGAGACTGAGAGTGGGGACAGAAGCAGAAGTAGATCGGACAAATGGTTAAGGATTGGCTGAAAAAGAGGAGGAGAGACGGTTATCCTGACTTGGAACAGAAGTAGTGAAAACTGGTGGCATAGACCAAGCTGACACAGGAGAAGAAGATGAGGCTGGAGTGGATTGAGAATTAATAGAAAAACATAGAGGAGTAAGGAAATTTGGATTCATGGAACAAAACATCCTTGGAGATGTAGATATGTCCATTAGATGCAAGGCACTTATACCCCTTGTGAGATGTGGAGTAACCAAGGAATATACATTCTTGTATAATCCATCTTATGAGAATTATAAGGTCTAAGAAATGGATAGCAGGAGCAGCCAAACACCCTAAGGTTAGTGTTGGAAGTTATTAGAGAGATAAGTACAAAATCAACCGATTATATGTTATACAACTCAGCATAATATTCATTGTAAATAATAATTAGTAGTTAGATATTAATAATTAGTAATTAGTTATCTTCTGCTATATTTAGAATTAGCATTTATAATTAGCATTTAAAGTGATTTGTCCATTGTATTCTATAAATACCTTTCATGTATTACTTACTACAATATCAAAGAAATACAAATTATTTGTTTCTTTAGTTAGAGTAGTTAGGAGGTTTTCCAAGCAGCATAGAATAAGGTGGGTGATTTTCAAGTGTGGATTAACAACAGCATCACCAACCGCTTTCTTAAGCAAGGAAACATGGAAAATAGGATGTATATGAGATGTAGGAGGTAACTCCAACCTGTAAGCAACAGTTCCAACACATTCAATCACCTTAAACGGACCAAAATACCTTGGAGACAACTTGGGACAGA